CGATAACTTTGTTAGGGGAGTGTAAATTAATTTTAAAAAAAAAAAAAAAACAAACCTGAAAGCGGGTTAAAAAAAAAAAAAAAAAAAGTTATACAAGATGGTAATAAAATTTATATATATTTGTATAATAGTATTAAATATAATTTTTCAAAAATAATCAAATAATCAAAATTGTGCAGCAGTAAATTTTTAAATAAAAAAAATTTTTTTATTAATGCTTTATTATACGCATTAATTATGCTCTAATTTGATTAAAATATTAATGATCGACGAACAGATGTGTTCTTTTTGGCGGACGCTGTAAGAACGTAATTTGATATACTGTGCAAAATCGAATTCTGGTTCGTTATGATCGTAATGCGTTTGGCTTCCAAATGTGTTCGAGTGCGAACAAACGGATAAAAAGGAAAGTTAACGGATAATCATTTCTTTCAAAAAGGAAATTTTGAGGTCATATGATCCTGCACTTAAGATGGCCGGAGCGAAGTTCCGTGCGTGTTATTTCTTTTGCTTGCAAATGCCGTTCTTTAGAATAAGGAGGCTAAATTTAACACACCGATCAGACGGTTTATTTATTTAAATCAGCCTTTGATTTTCTAGTCACTACTTGCTCCAATCAAAATCAGTTTAAATTTTTTTTTTTTTTAGTTTCGGATGGCGCGCTTGTTCCTGCTATCGCGGAAGGGTCAACACCACGAAGATTGCCGATTGACGACATTAAATCTTATGATTACACGGATTTTAAAAATATTGAACATATCGGTGTGGGTGCTTTTGGCAAAGTATATTCTGCTGATTGGGAAACACGAGGGATTCAAGTCGCTTTAAAAACATTAAATGAGAGAAATGATATCGAAGAGGAAGATTTTATTAAAGAGGTATAATATATTTGCATACATATATTTACAAAAATTAATTTAGAGAAGACAATTTAATTAATTTAAACAAAAATTGAATAGCTTCAATTACTTCAGAGGGTTCAGTATCATCCCAACATCAACCGAATAATTGGTGTGACTAAAGGTCAGATCAAACCGACGTCCCATTGTGATACATAATTTTAATTTTTTATTATTCTTTTATTTTAGATCAAAATGACAATAGATATATGATTTTACAATACGCCGACGGGGGGAATTTGCGCAAATACCTTGAAAATAATTTCGATAACTTGGACTTCTCTGATAAGATTAGAATTGCACAAGAGATTGTCAAAGGATTGATGTGCCTACATTCAGAGAACATAGTTCACCGGGATTTAGTCAGTAAATTTTTATTATACGTAATTGTAAAGCCTACTATACTTATTGACATTGACACTATATACGCATTTTAACATCCTAAAAATATTCTAGTCCATCAAGGACAATTTATGATTGCTGATCTCGGACTTTCAAAAGATTTAGCGTTAGATGAAAAATCCAGTCAGTCGGGTCAAAAAGTAAGAGGTGTAACAGCATACATCGAACCACAATGTTTTAAGGATGAAAATTATGTTCGTGACATGCAATCCGAT